AAGCCAACGAGATGGAGACCAGTATGGAAGAAGATACGTCCCGTAAAATTAAGAGACTTTGTCGAATTGTAATTTTGTGTTTGTAATTTTGTACAGTTAATTAAGTTATTGTTAATTGTTATTGGTTTATTGTATGTGGTTATTGTTCGGGACGAACAATACTAAGGAAGGGGCAGTGTTGCGTCAGCGAAGTCACTTGACTAGTGTGACGCCACGTTTCTAGAACTATCCTGTACCTTGGTGAATGCCCTAGCATTTACTAGATATAGGGTAGTCTGGTATATATATAAGAGGGTGACAACGTGACGGGAATTAATGTGTGTGTAGACAGTGAGTAATTGATCTGCAGTCAGAGGGTATTATTGAGCACGTTCGTTGTTATAGCGCTTGTTTTAGCGCGATTGTTGAAAATAAGTGTATCGGTAAAGTTATATTCGGAAAGAATAAACCAGTTTTATTAAGTATTTTATTAACGAATTTACGGGAAATCAATTAACAAACGGAGACGTAACAGTGTCAAACACAACTTATGTATCTTTTCAACCAAATAGATGGCGATACATTACTATTGATATTGTCACATCTCCGTTTGTTAATTAATTTTCCGTAACTTCGTTCCGACGAAACTTTAGCGACACAAGTGCTTACTTAATAAAACTGGTTTATTCTTCCTGAATATAACTTCACGATACACTTGATTTCAACAATCACGCTAAAACAAACGCTATAACGAACGTTATACTTTCTCACTGCAGATCAATTACTCACTACCTACACACACATTATTCCGTCACGTTGTCACCCTCTTATATATATACCAGGCTACCCTATATCTAGTAATCTCCCGACAATTTCCGAAGGTTTGTGAGAACGAGTCACGTGACCTCGCTGACGCAACAATATTTTTTACCTCGGATAAAGGATCTTTAAAAAACGCTGTGTAACGAGTAGCGCCCTGATGGGCTTAACTGTTGGAGTTTCAATTAAAACTACTAGTTACACTTGACTGTGTATGAATATTTATTACAGAACCAGTTTTTATCGAATGGTCAAATCTATAACTATAATGCAGATTTGAACATAACATAAAAATATACCTAAGTCAAAATTCTAATCAGAACGTTTTTTAACATTAGAAATGACATGTAAACATTCTTGATGTAGTCATAACGTGGAGAATGAACTGAAAAGTAAAAAAATCTATAAAATTTAATATGATTTTCATAATTTATACTTGTATGGAGATGGGAAACTACAGATGGAAAAGTGACGACTTGGCAAACATTTATACCGACGAAGTTACGGGAAGTTGTGCTGCGTCAATCCCATGATAATTTTAACAGGAGGACATCTCGGAATTA